CGTAAAAACGAAAGTACACAAACATGTTATGGAACATATTTACACCAATACATTAAGCAAATATGTTCCATAATATGTTTGTGTACTTTTGTATTTAAGGGGATGGTGTTACATTTTATGACCCCTCATCAGTGATTTGACTCAAATCACTGATGAGGGGTCATAAAATGTAAGTTGGCCTGAAATGCATCTATTTATACATGTAATCAACCAAAATAAATATAATTAAACTGTAAGTTTTGAATCATTGAATTACCAGTAGTATTCCTTTACATCTGCAGATGCAAGATTATGGAATTCTCAAGAATTATCTAATTTGATAAACAACATGATGTCATAAAGGACAAGGATGGCCAATATAAAGCCTTGTACTTGAGTAACAATGATAGTATGAAACTTTTCTTTGCAATACTGCAAGTTTAAATAATAACATATTGTTTTTCTAATTTCTAGAATTTAATACATAAAATGGATGCATTCTGTCTAGTGGAAACATGGCATATATCTTTGGTAATTGAATCAATTTTCTCTGATAAATAACTGTAAGAAGCCTGGAAGGCCCAATGGTGTCTTAATTGTTGGCCTTATATTAGATATAATCTTTAAAATTAAACTGATACTTTAATCATAATTTGTTTTGATTTTACAACTAGATACTGAGGAGTTAACTAATATCCAACTCAGTGATTCTCAAACTTTTCTGAGTCACCACTCCCTTGGTTCCATAAACTTATACTCAACACCCATTAACCCATTTTTCCTTGTTGAGAAAGGCTTGGAAATATTCTTAGAAAAACGCTTCTATGAAATTCACACTTTATGTCCTTACCACATTTGAAAACCATTAAACACAATGTTTCTTTCTTCTCATTTTAAAAGAGGAAATAGAAAGATGGTCAGTGACCCCAATCTTCACCTACAGTCACCATTCAGAACTCTGCCACCCACTTGCTTCTTTTCACCCTCCTAGATTTACTCACCACCCACTTTGGGAATCACTGATCCAGCTAATAGTGTCTTATATTCTACCTGACAACTATTATTATGATGATTTTAAGGTATTGCTTATAGAAATTTATTCACTACCTGAAACTAACTTTATTCAGTGTGTAGACTTTAATGATAGAATGGGGCATTCTGATTATTTGTCATGATTTACTTGTGACTGACAAATTGCTTTGAGAGTTTTAAAAGATTCTATTGTTAATGATAAAGAATTTTCCTCTATCATTTTTGTGAGCTTAATCTTTCTTTTAAATGATTTATAGTCAGCAGATGAAGATAATTTTATCTACCATGCAACTAAGAGAGGTAGTGTAATTGATTTTGTGATACAGACACAAGAAATAAGTCATTTACAAAATGAGAATATATGTGTTTTATCAGAGATAGGCTCTGGTTGTTTTGAATTACAAACACGTAGGAGTTTTGTCTTCTGGACAGGTTTTATAGGCTAAAAATTAAAGTATACACAACACTAAAATGGTACTGGGTTCTATGTGACCTATTCCATCAATAGTTATAACTTTAAATATAAGCAGAATTAATTTTTTTACTCAATGATTTAATCTTTATTACTTTATGCTGCTCTTATATGGGCAAGGACAATTTCCATTTTATCTTCAAAAAAGTTTTGTTATATAATAAAATTCCAGCTTTTATATTGCATTTAGAGTTTGGTGTTTCTAGAATATCAGTAATTATAATAAAATTAATAGTTTTATTTTGGATTAGACTTTTGAAATCAGATGATAAGTTAACTAGCATATAACAATTCCATAAACTGTTCAATAATGGACAATTATAGATGGATGTTGGCATTGAAAAATCTGTCAGATCAATATGGTTTCTCTTTTCTCTTGTTGTCTCAAGATCCTAATTTGATTGAAAGTTATCAAATGTTAATTATAAGTGTGTGTTATGAACAAAGCATATAAAGAGATTGATTTTGGTTGGAAAAGACCAAGCATTTTCAATTATATTGTAGTATTAAAACAACTTTTTTGTGAGGATTATTTGTTTATAGACATAAATTATCATATAAAATTATAATATTTTGACCACATGTCGGTTGGAGAATTTTGTTACATATAATAATAGACTAATATATAATAATAAGAAATCTGTAGTATGCAAATATGTGAAACTTGGAAATATGCAGTGGGTCCCAAATTCATCCAATCAAGGAGGCCCTGCAGCACATCCTAGAGAGAGAGAGAATGTGAAAACAAGCTCCGAACAAAAGATCTGTCAAAGACTTCAATAAAACATAGGCCAATACTACAAAGCCTTTGTCAAGTCTAGGCATCATTATGACATAAGCAAAGTTGCCAACATTTATGCTGCAAAAAGGAGGAACCACAAAATGAAGATTATACACAAATACAGGATGTAAATTTATTTCCTCAGATGTCTGTTACAATGTATATATGCTCTACAACAAAAATTGGTACAACTCAAGTTTGTAATTCTCAACTAACTCAACTATGATTTGTAAGAAAATTTTTATTAAACAAATAACACTTCTTTTCTTACTGTTCACGACAAACCTGTGCTGTTTGCACTTACAGTGGGTGATCGGTTAATGAACATAATCTGTTCCAAGACTTTGTTCACTATCCGAATTGTTCGTTAACCGATTATCAATTTACCATAGGTTTGTATGGGAATTTGATTAATTCCTTCTAGAGACCCCAAAAAATAAAAAATATAAATAAACGTAGTAAGAAAGTATATATGTAATAATAAAAATACATATATACACAGACTTGCATTTTTATTAGTCACGTGTTTTTGTTTGTGAGGTTAAATAATCTGTCTAATGTCAGTTGCTTTTTTCTCTTCTTCAGGGTTTTCAGAATTAATAACATTGTAATTGTAGAGATTCACAAGCCTTATTAACCTCAACCTGGTTTGTATGTCATTGTAAGACCGTTGATCTGACATCCCCCACTTCTTCAAAAGATCTTTAATTAATTAATAGCAAATATCGGCATTAATCCTTTTTTTCATAATAAAACATATCTCACCGAGTTTCTTGGTGTTCTTCATTCAAGAGTCTTGGGGTTCTTCTGTCGTCAGATCTGTTTCGGGTTCCATAATGAGCTCTTCAATGTTCTTTATTTCTCAGATGTGATATTTGTTACTCTTTTAGCTGCTTGAGTATTCTTAATTATACTGTATTTTTCTTAGATAAGATTGAACTGCAGCCTACTGTAGATTTGTTCAAGCCATACTGCCCAGTAACATCAGACATCTTCTGCTTATCTTTGCTATTATACTCTCACCTTTTGAAAATAAAAACCAACGCAAAACTTAATGAGTGCCCGCCCAACAGTCTCCCAAATACTATAAAAGAATTGTTTGTCAGAGAAATATAAGGCTGGAATTACAAGAAAGTATTTTAAAGTTCGGGGAATACTATCTGATTAGTATATATCGGGTTGAACGTAGACGTTGACGTCTCCCGCGTTCCAAAAAGTTACCTAAAGACAAAGGAAAATCAATCGCTATTTGCTATTTCCGTCGCTTCTTTTTATGTTTGTTCAGTGAAGTGTTAGTTGTCTGATCATAAAAATCTTTCGCAAAAGTGTTTGTTAACCAATCACCCACTGTATACTGTTACAGGTAAGGTAACTCCAATTTCAACAATCAAATTCTTTGCCATAGGTTTTCTTTTTTGCTCAACAGGTCAGTTCCATATTACTTATATCATTAGTTCACAACTCAGAGAATCAGTTGTTATATTCAAATGACTGATTCATTAGAAGTTCAAAAGAAGCAGAAAACTATATAATGTCTTATTTGTCTTTTAAAATGCAAATGTTTATTTTTGAGATTGTACCTACAGACATATGGACTGATTCCAAGTCAATTATAAAGAAACGGATGCAAACTAAATTGTGGGAGTTGTATGACGGAAGAAATAGGCCTGGGATACCCATCTGGCAGATGTGGTTATAATTTAAATTTTTGTTGTCGTTTGAAATTTTTCAATGATTAGGGCACAACTAAACACAAATATCTTTGTGTAAGTAACATGAGAGCTTTGAGTAACTTCTATTTTTTCCATTGCTCACAGTCTACTACGCCAGCCCAAGAGGTACAACACAATTGTTTAGGAAGGCAGTTTGGGATTTCAACTATTTGCAATCTTTGTGTTTAGGAAGATACAGAATTTTGTATGGAATATGTCTATATAAAAAATGCTACTACTATTCAAATTTTCTTTTCATCAGTTTAATGCCTTTAAAAAGGGAAAAAAATGATAGTAACAAAGCCTGTTAAAGATTGCAAAATAATTAATATATGGTTTTATAAGCTTTATCTCTTTGGTACATAAAGATAATTTCTCACCAATGAATGTAAATGTATTAGATAATTCTTCATTCTCCTTTAATTTAACCAAGCATAACCCGATACTTAAAAACTTATCAAACTATTAATATAAAGATCTTTGTCATTTTAACAAAACACAATTCAAAATTATTTCACATACATTTATTATTGGCTTTAGTTAGATTAACACAAAGAAACTAACGACCGTCCTGACGGCGGGCAATTGTTCTCGTTTCTGATGTTATTTGTCATCGTTTGTTTACAAAGAGTATTAAAAAAATTTCTATGGTAATAAAATCTGTGGTGTTTCTGACCCTTCCGTATAGAGTGATAAATTTTCTCGTTCGAATTTTTAGCGTCAGACATTCCGTCGATAATCGACACTAAGTGTTACGGATGGCGACGTGCCGATCTGCAAAAGCTAGTATTAAAACAGTTAAAAATATTATAACACTTTTTGTCCACGAGTAACTTTTCTCGTCGTTGAGGATTTCGTATCAAATTGGATTTTTTGTCACGTGAGCGGATCCGGAAGCTTCGTACGCACGCGCGGAACGGAGACCGGATTGGGTTGACCGTGTTTCCGCTTTGTAAATACTGCATGCCGACGTACGACAGCCTGTATAATAATATGCTATTTCGTGAATAAAAAGTTCTTTAAAATCGATTATCTTGTGTTTTTTTATTTCAATATTATAGGAAAAAAGTAATGAAAAGTAGTAACTATTACAATGGAAATGAGACAATGACTTTTAAAATTCAAAACCGACCAAATTACATTTTTATTCCATTTAAACGTTTACGGTGCATTCATTATACTTTGGAATCTTAATTAAAACCATCTCCGAATTCCAGTCAGAATCATTTTATTTACAAAGGTTTATTTTTGCGCAGATTTTTAACTTATTTATTATACATATGTCTTAGAGTCGCTCTATCAGATCACAAAGTTTGGATAATTAACGTTTCTGTTAAAAATGACAAATCAATAACCAAAAACGAAAAAAAAAATGGCTGGAATGATGAATCATTACTTTTCAAGCCAACCTCTGGCAATTCGGCTTTATGGAATATTTTAAATGCGTCAATGCCGGCGACCAGATCACGTGGCGATAAACTAACGTATGTGCCCAGTGTCCATTCTGGTCGGTTTCGAAACCCCGAGTCGAAATTCTGTCACCCCCAGTATAAAAACAAGAAACATTCTTGATCCAGCACAGAATTCCCATTTGCAAACTATAAAAAATTGAGCAGGTTTTCTAAAAGTAGACGACGCATACTGTTTGCATGCACCTTTTCCAATCTTATTTATAGAGTAAGAAAGCAATGGACGACGAGGCAGATTGAAGTCTTGGTCGTTTCGAGCACGCTAAAAATACGGAAATTTGTTTTATGTACATGTATGCCAAACAATAGGCGACTATGCTATGGTGGCAAACATACGCTATCTTTCTCGAAATAGTTTTCGCAATACTACTTGGCACTCAAAATTTTCTTTATTTTCCCATAAGAATAAAGAAAATTTTTCAAAATAAAATTAAGTACCAATTTTATTACAAGGATAAATATTTAAAATAATATATATACCATATACCGCGTACCACATACAGAGAGAAATTTTATATATATATAATAAGATGAGTATTTCCCTGAAAATTAACATGACTTGGGAATGTACAAAATTTCAAACTTTATTCCTGTTTTAAATATAAATATGTACGTATAATTTGAAGCTTATATCTGTGTGTATATATATATATATATAACACAATTTTAATAATTAAAAGAGAAAAACAGAACTAAAACTTTTGTTTGAAATTATTCCCAGAACATATAGAAGTACACAACACAAAATTGGAAAAATAAAAATATAATGAAAAACAAAATTTTTATCAAAGGAATAAATATAGTTTTATTATGGTAATACTGTAAATCAACGTTCAATACTACTAAAATTGTATACGGATATAAAATTTCCATTGGCGGCCATCAAATCGGAGCAAAATTACTTGCGTTGTGTCGGGCCTCTGAGACTGCATACGTGCAATTAATTGCAACCGGTGGAACGATTGGGTGGAGGAATGCAATATCTAAGGTTGGGTTGGTGTGGTACGGTTGAAAAGGAAATGCAATTATTTTATTAATGTAATTAAAGAACTTAAAATATATTACATCTAGTGCTGTTTGGCATGTGGAATGGTATTTCGTAACATAGAAAAAGTTAATTTGGATTGCTGAAGTTTGGTAACAAAGTCTGCCCCGTTCCATTTGACCAAATATTTAAAATAAATGATGCCGTCATTGGCTATGCAAATGAATTTTGGGGCGACCGTCCGCTTGATGGTTATTTTAATTTGGGTAAAAACAGACTTCTCAATAATCATTTCGCTGGCTTAATGCATAGGCTAATATTAATACAATGGGGCGACGAAGTCACATTTTTCTCGTGCAAATTTGTTGCACGAACTTTGAAAAATCCAAGACGACGCCGTCGGGTCGGTTTTGGTGACATTCTTTTTCTGTTGTACGGAGAGAGACAGTCCATTCGGGGGTCGCCGGCCACAGACTCTAGTCGATGGCCAATTTTTGTTCGGTCCAAACGTTACCAGAGTTTCTTCGGTGCCTGTACAGTTTCTTGTGGTAGCTCTGAGCCATAGAATTCACGATAGATAAGACGAAATACAGTATCATCGCCAAGACGACTTTCTCAAATGTCCAAGAAAGCCAGCTACTTTCCTGTTAAAAGAAAAAATTTACGTAAGTATAACAAAGAAATCTTACATTATTTATTCTAATGCTTATTGAATAACATACATTAAATAAATTTCTACTTGTTGAATTCTGGAACAAACATTACAATTATAACGATTCTAGATGTGGGGAAACAAATTTATATAAGACAAAAGGTGGAATAAATCAAAAACACTATATGATGATGTGTGTAGACAACTCAAATATTCCACATTCTAAGAAATAAAGGTATAGACAGAGATGACTAGTTATTTTTTCAAGTATTGATAGTGCTACTAATGTTTTGACAGCATCTTTCAAAACAGATGCATTGGCAATGCAGGAAGAGATCTACATAAAGGAGAAAGACAACCAACACCTAGGGCTTTGCAAATTTGGTAGTATATTTTAGTAGTTACGTTTCAATAATTACTCATCTGATGATTTTAATTGTACCTATATTTGCAGAACAATTGTTTTCAAACTTAAAATTGATTGAAACCGCTTCCTATCGACAGCAAAGAGACTCTTCTCTTTTGATTGTTCTTTGAAAGAAATATTGCTACATAACTAAATACTTTTTCTGTAATTGATGTATTTGGCACTTCTGAAACTGGGAGCGCATGTCTTTTACACCTATTGAATTTTCTAATACATTGTAAGACTGTTTGTATTACTGTAGTATAGTCTCTCTTAGAATGATTTACACACACACAGTTTTGGGAATTCCAAAGAGGATGTTGTCTACAATGTCTGTGTAACTTTTTCTTGATGATAGGAAATAAAAGTAAAGAGCCAGATCTGACCTATATGGTGGATGGCTAGTTGTCCCGACACCCCAAATTCCATAGAAATGTTGTTTACATTTAAAGTGTGGGCCAATACAATTGTCTTGGTGCAACAAAATTCCTTGGGCTCTGGAATTTGCCCACTACCATAAGCCCAACTTTTGGACTTAGGGTGGAGGACTAATTTTTGATTTTCCAGTGCAATTGTTGCAATCCATCTATTTGTGTGGAAGGAAATGTTTTGCCATTTTTCAACCAAGACTCCAAAGTCACTCAATCTCAAAGGCAGGGTGTTTGTTTAGAAACATTCAGATTGATGAAGGGCATTATATCCAACCCTTGATAACTTATCACCACAACACTGTGGATTGCAGTTTCCATTACTGAAGTTTTGGCTCATATCTTCACAGTTTCCAACTTGGACTGTCTCAGTATTTCTGGTAGGACACCCAGAAAAAACACAATTTTCAAATGCACAGGGTTTCTGAAACAATTATGACACACAAACAGAATTAGTTTCAAAGAAGATTTTAAAAATCTTAAAATACAATGGCTTGATTTCATGCTACCATATTAACATAATATTTTTGAAACAACTTTTGTTGTCTGTTGACTTACTGATATAGTATTCATATCTTTAAACACATTATAAAATGAAGCCAATTGGTTTTATTTTACAACAACTATTTCAAAATAGGTTATGAACACAGCTTCAAAGTTGGCAGAATTTCTTATTTAAGTGAATGGATTCCTTCCTTCTTTCTTACAGACATAAATAATTTGAATAGTTAGTTAATAAACATTTTTCAACTTAAGCCACCTTTTATTTTACTTTAAAATGCATTTATCCCCTATATTTTTATGACATCAAAAAAGTATTAACAAATATACTTGATTTGCATTTTAAAAATACAAGCATTTAGCAATAATTTCAAATACATGCTAAACTAATGCAAGTTTTCTTTAAAAAATTAATTTGAGGCAAAAGGTTTCTTTTTAATAATAATACAAGACTCACACATTTATAAACCAATAAATATCATTAAAATAATAATAAAATGATAAAAACCATTAACCAATAAAATATTTAAATCATACATTTAGCTGACATCATCTCAACATAGTGAACCTTTTAACTATATATGTTACCGCTAAAGCTCGAAATCCGTTAATGTGCGCATTACCTAGCTAATCTGCAGATTAACTAGGGTGATCCGTTAAAGCTGCGAAAATTGTTCAATTTCTCAAATTACCTAGGTAATGTTCAGATTATCTAGGTAATCTGCAAATTACCTACTAGGCACTCGGTAAAGTGAAAATAAGATTTTTGCTGGAACAACAGCAACGTTTCTGTACGCTTAAATTAACATAATGTTATTTATTTAATTTTCAATATCTAAAGAATCAAGTTAATACAATCAACAAATTAGTTGATTGAATCAATCATCAATCAATTAAAAAAACTTTAATACAAAAATCAAACGGTTTAAAATATTACTACAATTAGGGAAATGAATTTGCAAAACATATGATAAAATTGTACTTACTTATTAGTGCAATCTAAAGATTGGTGACACTTTGAATTACGTAGCAATTGGTTTTTGCGACAAGCACGCCTATTTGTGGTACATTTAGATTTGCAGTCACATTTTCTGAAACCCTGCCCAGTACCAAGGGATTGTTTTATTGCTGTTTGACGTAAAGATATTTCTACAGCAGGGACATCCATCTTCTTTCGTTAAAAATCTCTCTTTGCAAACACTGAATTCAGATTTTGCATACAATTGTTTTAAAATACCTGTTTTAGTATCAAGTTTATAAAAGCCATCCTCTGTTTTACTAAGAACCACAGCTAAAATTGAACGTGCATCAGTTTTTGCTCTGTCTTCTTCGGGTACTTTAATTCTCACAGCGAAACCTTCATCGACGTTTGGGTGCTTTGCATTAGAAACTGCTAACATTTTCTTTGCTTGCTTTTCTAAACATTTCTTGGCTTCATCACGCTGTATTTTCTGATCCATATTCTTTTTACAGATGATGCACAATACATTCTTACCATACCCTTCCTCTTTAGGATCTACTTCACCACAAACTGCGTGAACAAACATATTACACGATTTACACTTGTGAGCACTTGATGCTGCTTTTGAGCAAACAATACAGACTATGTCTTGTATAGTGCTCTTTACAGGCTCCGTACGAAACTGTGATGGCGATTCTGCTGAAGTTGAGAGTAACTCAGTGATGACTTCTTCAACTTGCAGAGGCGATTCCTTGGAGGTGCAGGGTAACTGAATATTCTTCGTGACTGCATCATCAATCAACGGTATAGAAGGCAGTTTAAGATTACTATCGGTAAATTCTTGTATTTCTATAGGTGATTCTGTAGAAGCGGGGGATAACGGAATGTCCTCTTGAGTAAGATTTGACTGTGATCTCATAATCACAGTCTCTTGTGAATCTTCTAATTTTTCAAGGTCTTCTTCAGTTTTTATCGAATGTCAAACAATTCTCCGGCATGGACAAACTTTTTCAAACCTTTCTCGCGCATCTGACAACGGCTCAATGAGTTTTTCACAGCCTCGTACAGTCAACACATCACACCTTTGAATTATTTGATAATCTCGAGATGATTCTTTCTTCTTGGAAACTTTTATTTGCTTTACATCTTCAATTATGGAATCATACTTTGGTTTGTTATTAAAACACTACGTATTATATTTTAAATCTTCGCTAAAGAGGTTTGCGAAGAATCTTTTCTTGATTTTACTCACCAATTCGGTGCTTGCTTGCATTCTAGGATTTAAATTTATCTACGTAAAAAGAAGGAGTGGGGAAAGGAAGTGAAAGAAACAAACTTTTGAACTTTAACGATACGGAAGCTGTTAATGTGCAGATTACCTAGATACTCTGCAAATTACCTAGGTAATTTGAGAAATTGAACAATTTTTGCAGCTTTAACGGATCACCCTAGTTAATCTGCAGATTAGCTAGGTAATGTACACATTAACGGATTTCGAGCTTTAGCGGTAACATATACACTATTATACAACACTAGTGAAACAAGATTTTAGATAATTCATTCATTGTATTGTAATAAAACTTGATGGCTTTATTTCTTCTCATGCATCGATGAGCCGTAATTATTTCTTCTTAAACGATTCACTGTTAACATGGTCACCTGATATTATGTATCATTTAATGCCTTTGTATGGCAAATTCACCTTTCCCAGTTGAAGTGGTGTGCTAAACTTTAAAATGTTCATGTATTACTGACATATTGTACATTACTCATCAGTCTTATAACTTTAGTTACACATTGCACATATCATCACTTATCTACCATGCAAACACAGCTGTAATCCATCAATAAAATTATGTACTACATATTTGTAAAACATTTCATTGACAACTTTCTGCATTTTAAAGCAGCCATTTTACAAAATATTAAATAAATGCGCAACACTTATTGGTGGAAATGATAATTTTTTCATTAAATGCTCTTCCTACATTGACTAAAAAAATGAATCTAAGCCATCCAGCTCCACAGAATAACATGTAAAAATGAGCATGTAAAGACTTCATCCTTCATCTTTTAGAGGAAAACTGGTTCGACAAGCAAAACTCGTGTCTCTCTAGACTCTCTAGAAAGTGTTAAATATATAATATGATAATATTATATATTTAACACTTGATAATTTTTGTTCCAAGTTTTTAAAATAATTTAATTTGACAAAGAATTTACTAACTTGATGTACAGGACTTCCTATTTTACGATGCAAATTGGCCTTTTGCTTTGCCAGAAATTCTTCAAATGGTACTTTAAGATATCCACCTACATAAGGAATGTGTCTGTAATGTAAGACTGTCAGTTAATATTTTACAATTTGAAATTTTAAAATTCTTATAATAAAAAATTAAAAAAATGAATTAGCTAAATATATTTTATATACTAACCCAACCTATAAATATGAAGTAATATATTTGAACACACACATTTATGATTAATTGTGGAGACAACCATTTCTATACAGAGTGGTTCTAAACTATGGAGACAAACTTCAGGTGTTGATTTCTGGCAGACAACGAACAATATGGTCCTATCAATATACAAGTATGTCTAGAAATGCACTGGTGCAGCAATAGACCTACTTCTGTTTCCATTTGCCACTTTCACTGATAGATTAGTTGAGAGAGGCCTGTCCAGTTGTCAGATTTCAATCCTCTTGATTTTTACTTGTGCAGACATCTGAAAAGTGTCATGTACACTGAACAGTTTCCAATGCATGTTGGAGCAATGTATGGATGCTATATATGCCATACTGTTGTGCAATATTATATCCTGTGTGTACAGCTTGTGATGCCTATTAGTGCCAACTACCTGGCACCAGTGCATTTTTGGACATATGTTAATAGGGCCGTTTTTGTCCAGGAATCTATTCCCAAAGTTTGGAACCACTCTGTAAATCATATACTTACTGCAGAAATCCATCAAGTCCAAAAATATTAAAACTGAAAAAAATGCAGCTTAGTACGAAAAATACTTAACAGAAAAGAAACTATTTTAAAAGTAGAGAAGCAAAATATTTAGACTAATAAATACTTACAGGCTATACTTTAGTGATTTTTATAATGCTCTGAGTGAAATAATAATAATTTTTTGTAAGAAAAGCCTAAAATCTCAAAAAAGCAACTTAAAATCTCAGAAGTGAGTAAAAAAAGAGTCTAATAATGAAAAATGTCTGAATGGTGATTGAAAAAACTACAGTTATACCCAATTATAATGTCATCCATGAGACTGGCAATTTTTTGATGTTATAACCTGTAAAGTACTATTTTATTTTTCTGACTTTTCCAACGATTATCGACACGACTGTGTGTCGGAAATAGCCGTTCCCTAACGGGTACTTTACGCGGATTCGCGTTAGTGTGCCAGGCCTGGACTTTTAGCGTGCACCGAAATTAAATAATGACCAAGTTTGTCAATAAGAAAGCAAATATTTAATTAATTTCTAGTAATAAACTATATACAAAATTTAGTAAAAATCAACAATAATTTATTCAATGAAAATCAATAAGAATCAACCCGACAAAACTCAAATCAATCTAGTTTCTAACTTAAATCTATTCCCCTTTGGAATTCAACAAAACTCAAAGACTTAACTTATATACAATAATTCTTATGAATTAAAGATCCTAATCGTCACCTCAATATACTAGGAACCTATTTCCTCAACTCTCAAGACTTTCTCTATTCGTCGATCCACAAATCAAATAACTTCAAAATTGCCTTGAAACTATTTGATCCTATCAAACACCTCTCTCGTTCACTGCTACGAAAGCTCACCAAGCTCGTTGCTATCTGGAGTTCACCTCCTTTAATTTTACGTCAGAGTATTTATACGGACGTCCACATACTGGTGTCGCCTTGTCAGTGACGACTTCATGTTCTATCATATTAGTTAGTCCCGGCTTATCTGTAAACAGTTGCGGGTATTGTAATAATACGTTTTTCAAAGTCACTAACCTTTCACCACTCAAAGTGGTTTGGAGTTCGTCCCACTTGGGTGAAATTCTCTCTTTTGGTTGAATTACGTCCAAAGAAACTGTCGAATTTTTAAAATCCATTTTTAATCCATGGTTCTTGGCGAAATCACGCCCTAGTAAGCATTGCATAATAAGTCCTTTTACTACCACGCATTCCTGACGAAGGGTGATATTTCCAATCTGGATCTTTGCCATAAATTTTCCAATTGAGGTTCCTTTTCCTCCTTCAATGGCTAACTTAAAATTCAGTCCAGCTTGTAACTGAATATTTCTATTCTGCAAATAAATTTTCCTCCACACGGAATCATTAATCAAAGTAAAGTCAGAACCCGTATCAATCAGGGCTGAGGTTAGTACTCCATTAATAAAAACGTTTACCTCAGGCAACTTGGAGGCTTCACTAACGATTAGTCCTACGGTGGAGGCATTTAGTTCCATACTGGAGACAAGATCCTCCTCTCACTGTCTCCCGTCTAGTTTAACGGTTTTCTTTTTCCATTACCCCTCTTTTGCCAAGTTACTTTTCGTTCGGGACTCTTGACACTCGTCTGATCAGGTTGCTGTTTTCCTTTGGGACAATTCCTCGAAAAATGTCCCACCTCACCACATGAGTAACAGGTCATGGGTGACTTTGCCGGTGCAAAACTTTTCGGCTCTATCTGTTTACTTATTTTTCGACAGTCCTTAATCGGATTTGTACTGTCAGAAGAACCTTGGTCATTTCTTCTGAATTCGTACTCTTTTGCAGTGCGTACTAGCTTATTTAATGAATAAGAATGGCGATTTTCCAGATACTCACGTAACGGTAGAGGCATCTGGGAAACTACACATTGAATTATTTCTTCGTCACGAGCTAAAGGTCTCCACGTGCGGTATAGCTGTACCGTGGTCCATATAAATTGCTCGACACCATTGGTTCCGGTGTATTGGCGACTAAATAGTTCTTTTGCAACAGCTACTTCGTCAGCTAAAGGAGCGTACAGATCCAAAAAAGATCGTTTAAATAACGGCCAACTGTTGCCGATTCGGTGGCGTCCTTCATTCTTCCACCATATCGCTGGGCTACCGCAAAGACAACTAGTGGCAGTATCCACCCATCTAGTGTTCGGTATTTGGTTCACCAGGAAATGCTGTTTGAGGTCCTGCAAGAAGTCGTTAGCAGTTAATGCTGACCTACTGTTAAATTGGATGGCTGACAGCGGCGGTGCAGTCTGAAGACAGACCATCGATGCATTAGACATAGGCACTTCCTGTCTCAGAGTAGAAGTTTCGGCCGTACAGCACTAGTAACATTCGGTGTTGTAGGCTCAACAGTCCCAGACGTGACACGAGGTCAGATGAGTCACGGCATTCGTCAAAGTTGACACTTGTTGCAACAGCACTGACAACTGCTGCTGTAATTGGTTATATTCGGCTCGGGTTACTGGTGCACTATCATCCATTTTTTTTTTCTTATGAGGTGTTACTCCTCTAAAGCTAAATTCAAAGTCTATGAAAGAAAGCAACCAATTCCAATATTAACCTTAGAGTCCCTTTTTGGGCACCAGTTGTAAAGTACTATTTTATTTTTCCGACTTTTCCAACGATTATCGACACGACTGTGTGTCGGAACCGTTAGTGTGCCAGGCCTGGACTTTTAACGCAAATCCGCGTAAAGTACCCGTTAGGGAACGGCTATTTCTGACACACAGTCGTGTTGATAATCGTTGGAAAAGTCGGAAAAATAAAATAGTACTTTAAAAACCGAGTGTCGTTATCTGCGGGGTCATAATTTCAGTGTTTAAGAATCTATTATAAAATCCATTCTAATTTAACATCGTATGTATTACCATAAAATTATTTCTTAATGGTAATACAGTATACTGTATCTATTATGGTAATAAAAATTTATTATCGTATATATAAAAGTGAAATCAACTTTATTTACATTATTATGTCTAAGTTTACATCAATGTAATTAAAAATGTCAAAAATTACCTTTTATAAGAAATTTCTATTTGTCTTAAGTTTCAATAATGGTGGCAATTCTGGTTTAGAGAATAATGTTGAATCAAAAGGCAACAAAAGGTTAAACTAATGTATGCCAATTAAAAAGACATAACAATATTCAGTTAAAAAAGTCAGTTATTTTAGATTGATAAACAATTTTTAGGTGAAAAACATCTACAATGTCATTTTCTAAATCATACACTTTATTCATTATTTTCAATGAAGTTTTCCGAGACCTGCAAAACGTTTTCAATAATTTTTACTTGCTTCCCTGGTTGACGGCACTACATTTTCTCTGTCTGATTTTCTATCTTCATCATCATCATCATTTTTCTTGTCTGAAGATTTAATTTGCTCAACAATATCTGCATTATATATACAGACGCACTGTATAAAATAACACGAGTAACTATGCAGACTAACCGATCGTCACATCATTTAAAGATGTGACAAACTTCACCCCACCGAAGTCAGGTTGTGAGAGTACCACCCACAGTTGTTCTAGGAAGTGGACTCTGACCCTAGAAACTGAACATGTAGTACATGTACTGTATTTTCTGTTAAATAAAATCCATAATCTAATTTTGTAAATCTGGGAGTGCTTTAAGTATGACATTAAAATAGGGTTTTATGTTGTTACAAGTGGGTTTTTTAGTACAGTGGGTGATCAGTTAACAAACATAATCCGTTACAAGACTTTATTCGTTATTCAATTATCGATTTACCATAGGTTTATATGGGAATTTGATTAATTTGTTCTGGAGATTCCAAAAAATAAAATATATACATTTTTACTGTTTATTTATATGTAATTGTAAAAATACATATACAGTAGAGCGTCGATTATCCAAATCAATTGGGGACTAGGGTTGTTCGGAAGATCGATGTTTCGGATAACCAATTATGTACGAAAAAATACATTAATTTATCCCATCTTGACATTTTTCTCCGTTGCGTGTCACTTCGCGTTGAATTTTTGTTGATGTTAAGCCTAACGAAGACTATTGTGTCATTAAAAATTATTTTTTTAAATAAATATATTGAAAAATATAAAAACAATAAAAAATTATACTTCAGAAGTTAATTTAGTATCAAAAACATAAAATATTTGAGTAGCCCAAGACATAGCCAAAGATTGCAGCACCACAGCACTGGCAAAAATTTAAATTTTCCGACTGGAATTCTTTCGATGATTGACTTTCAGATAATCGACACTCTACTGTATATGCAGTCTTGCATTTTTATTAGTCATGTTTTTTCCATTTATGGGGTTAATGAATCTGTCAAATGTCGATTGCTTTTCTCTTTTCTTCAGG